TCTATCTAGCTATCTATCTATCTATCTAGCTATCTATCTATCTATCTAGCTATCTATCTATCTATCTAGCTATCTATCTATCTATCTAGCTATCTATCTATCTATCTAGCTATCTATCTATCTATCTAGCTATCTATCTATCTATCTAGCTATCTATCTATCTATCTAGCTATCTATCTATCTATCTAGCTATCTATCTATCTATCTAGCTATCTATCTATCTATCTAGCTATCTATCTATCTATCTAGCTATCTATCTATCTATCTAGCTATCTATCTATCTATCTAGCTATCTATCTATCTATCTAGCTATCTATCTATCTATCTAGCTATCTATCTATCTATCTAGCTATCTATCTATCTATCTAGCTATCTATCTATCTATCTAGCTATCTATCTATCTATCTAGCTATCTATCTATCTATCTAGCTATCTATCTATCTATCTAGCTATCTATCTATCTATCTAGCTATCTATCTATCTATCTAGCTATCTATCTATCTATCTAGCTATCTATCTATCTATCTAGCTATCTATCTATCTATCTAGCTATCTATCTATCTATCTAGCTATCTATCTATCTATCTAGCTATCTATCTATCTATCTAGCTATCTATCTATCTATCTAGCTATCTATCTATCTATCTAGCTATCTATCTATCTATCTAGCTATCTATCTATCTATCTAGCTATCTATCTATCTATCTAGCTATCTATCTATCTATCTAGCTATCTATCTATCTATCTAGCTATCTATCTATCTATCTAGCTATCTATCTATCTATCTAGCTATCTATCTATCTATCTAGCTATCTATCTATCTATCTAGCTATCTATCTATCTATCTAGCTATCTATCTATCTATCTAGCTATCTATCTATCTATCTAGCTATCTATCTATCTATCTAGCTATCTATCTATCTATCTAGCTATCTATCTATCTATCTAGCTATCTATCTATCTATCTAGCTATCTATCTATCTATCTAGCTATCTATCTATCTATCTAGCTATCTATCTATCTATCTAGCTATCTATCTATCTATCTAGCTATCTATCTATCTATCTAGCTATCTATCTATCTATCTAGCTATCTATCTATCTATCTAGCTATCTATCTATCTATCTAGCTATCTATCTATCTATCTAGCTATCTATCTATCTATCTAGCTATCTATCTATCTATCTAGCTATCTATCTATCTATCTAGCTATCTATCTATCTATCTAGCTATCTATCTATCTATCTAGCTATCTATCTATCTATCTAGCTATCTATCTATCTATCTAGCTATCTATCTATCTATCTAGCTATCTATCTATCTATCTAGCTATCTATCTATCTATCTAGCTATCTATCTATCTATCTAGCTATCTATCTATCTATCTAGCTATCTATCTATCTATCTAGCTATCTATCTATCTATCTAGCTATCTATCTATCTATCTAGCTATCTATCTATCTATCTAGCTATCTATCTATCTATCTAGCTATCTATCTATCTATCTAGCTATCTATCTATCTATCTAGCTATCTATCTATCTATCTAGCTATCTATCTATCTATCTAGCTATCTATCTATCTATCTAGCTATCTATCTATCTATCTAGCTATCTATCTATCTATCTAGCTATCTATCTATCTATCTAGCTATCTATCTATCTATCTAGCTATCTATCTATCTATCTAGCTATCTATCTATCTATCTAGCTATCTATCTATCTATCTAGCTATCTATCTATCTATCTAGCTATCTATCTATCTATCTAGCTATCTATCTATCTATCTAGCTATCTATCTATCTATCTAGCTATCTATCTATCTATCTAGCTATCTATCTATCTATCTAGCTATCTATCTATCTATCTAGCTATCTATCTATCTATCTAGCTATCTATCTATCTATCTAGCTATCTATCTATCTATCTAGCTATCTATCTATCTATCTAGCTATCTATCTATCTATCTAGCTATCTATCTATCTATCTAGCTATCTATCTATCTATCTAGCTATCTATCTATCTATCTAGCTATCTATCTATCTATCTAGCTATCTATCTATCTATCTAGCTATCTATCTATCTATCTAGCTATCTATCTATCTATCTAGCTATCTATCTATCTATCTAGCTATCTATCTATCTATCTAGCTATCTATCTATCTATCTAGCTATCTATCTATCTATCTAGCTATCTATCTATCTATCTAGCTATCTATCTATCTATCTAGCTATCTATCTATCTATCTAGCTATCTATCTATCTATCTAGCTATCTATCTATCTATCTAGCTATCTATCTATCTATCTAGCTATCTATCTATCTATCTAGCTATCTATCTATCTATCTAGCTATCTATCTATCTATCTAGCTATCTATCTATCTATCTAGCTATCTATCTATCTATCTAGCTATCTATCTATCTATCTAGCTATCTATCTATCTATCTAGCTATCTATCTATCTATCTAGCTATCTATCTATCTATCTAGCTATCTATCTATCTATCTAGCTATCTATCTATCTATCTAGCTATCTATCTATCTATCTAGCTATCTATCTATCTATCTAGCTATCTATCTATCTATCTAGCTATCTATCTATCTATCTAGCTATCTATCTATCTATCTAGCTATCTATCTATCTATCTAGCTATCTATCTATCTATCTAGCTATCTATCTATCTATCTAGCTATCTATCTATCTATCTAGCTATCTATCTATCTATCTAGCTATCTATCTATCTATCTAGCTATCTATCTATCTATCTAGCTATCTATCTATCTATCTAGCTATCTATCTATCTATCTAGCTATCTATCTATCTATCTAGCTATCTATCTATCTATCTAGCTATCTATCTATCTATCTAGCTATCTATCTATCTATCTAGCTATCTATCTATCTATCTAGCTATCTATCTATCTATCTAGCTATCTATCTATCTATCTAGCTATCTATCTATCTATCTAGCTATCTATCTATCTATCTAGCTATCTATCTATCTATCTAGCTATCTATCTATCTATCTAGCTATCTATCTATCTATCTAGCTATCTATCTATCTATCTAGCTATCTATCTATCTATCTAGCTATCTATCTATCTATCTAGCTATCTATCTATCTATCTAGCTATCTATCTATCTATCTAGCTATCTATCTATCTATCTAGCTATCTATCTATCTATCTAGCTATCTATCTATCTATCTAGCTATCTATCTATCTATCTAGCTATCTATCTATCTATCTAGCTATCTATCTATCTATCTAGCTATCTATCTATCTATCTAGCTATCTATCTATCTATCTAGCTATCTATCTATCTATCTAGCTATCTATCTATCTATCTAGCTATCTATCTATCTATCTAGCTATCTATCTATCTATCTAGCTATCTATCTATCTATCTAGCTATCTATCTATCTATCTAGCTATCTATCTATCTATCTAGCTATCTATCTATCTATCTAGCTATCTATCTATCTATCTAGCTATCTATCTATCTATCTAGCTATCTATCTATCTATCTAGCTATCTATCTATCTATCTAGCTATCTATCTATCTATCTAGCTATCTATCTATCTATCTAGCTATCTATCTATCTATCTAGCTATCTATCTATCTATCTAGCTATCTATCTATCTATCTAGCTATCTATCTATCTATCTAGCTATCTATCTATCTATCTAGCTATCTATCTATCTATCTAGCTATCTATCTATCTATCTAGCTATCTATCTATCTATCTAGCTATCTATCTATCTATCTAGCTATCTATCTATCTATCTAGCTATCTATCTATCTATCTAGCTATCTATCTATCTATCTAGCTATCTATCTATCTATCTAGCTATCTATCTATCTATCTAGCTATCTATCTATCTATCTAGCTATCTATCTATCTATCTAGCTATCTATCTATCTATCTAGCTATCTATCTATCTATCTAGCTATCTATCTATCTATCTAGCTATCTATCTATCTATCTAGCTATCTATCTATCTATCTAGCTATCTATCTATCTATCTAGCTATCTATCTATCTATCTAGCTATCTATCTATCTATCTAGCTATCTATCTATCTATCTAGCTATCTATCTATCTATCTAGCTATCTATCTATCTATCTAGCTATCTATCTATCTATCTAGCTATCTATCTATCTATCTAGCTATCTATCTATCTATCTAGCTATCTATCTATCTATCTAGCTATCTATCTATCTATCTAGCTATCTATCTATCTATCTAGCTATCTATCTATCTATCTAGCTATCTATCTATCTATCTAGCTATCTATCTATCTATCTAGCTATCTATCTATCTATCTAGCTATCTATCTATCTATCTAGCTATCTATCTATCTATCTAGCTATCTATCTATCTATCTAGCTATCTATCTATCTATCTAGCTATCTATCTATCTATCTAGCTATCTATCTATCTATCTAGCTATCTATCTATCTATCTAGCTATCTATCTATCTATCTAGCTATCTATCTATCTATCTAGCTATCTATCTATCTATCTAGCTATCTATCTATCTATCTAGCTATCTATCTATCTATCTAGCTATCTATCTATCTATCTAGCTATCTATCTATCTATCTAGCTATCTATCTATCTATCTAGCTATCTATCTATCTATCTAGCTATCTATCTATCTATCTAGCTATCTATCTATCTATCTAGCTATCTATCTATCTATCTAGCTATCTATCTATCTATCTAGCTATCTATCTATCTATCTAGCTATCTATCTATCTATCTAGCTATCTATCTATCTATCCTCTGTCTCTCTGTCTATCTATCTATCTATCTATCTACAGTGGCGTCATCTATCTATCCTCTGTCTGTCTATCTATCTATCTATCTATCTATCTATCTATCTATCTATCTATCTGTCTATCTATCTATCTATCTATCTATCTACAGTGGCGTCCTCAGCGTTCTGTTCACTGATTGGCTATCGTCAGTGAATGAGCCACTGATACAAACAGCGCTACACATCAGGCAGCGCGATCTCAGCCCGAGCACTGAGCCGATGAACGGAGCCCTGAAATATTATACAGACTCACTGTAAACGAGGACCTCAGGTGCCACACGAGCGACCAAACAGCGCAGGTAGGTCATAATAACTCGACATGAGCTAACGCTAGTGTTGGCATGCAGTGTGCTGTTTGTAAATCTTCTCCAGTGCATTAGTGCAGCAGTGTCATGATGAGTTCACTCTGTTATGATCTTTAAGTTACATCACTCCAGCGGCTCATATTTACACCGTCTCATTCATCTGTGTCTTCCGTTTTCTCAGCAATACAAAGTCCGAGTAATCAAGCAATCGTTGAAATAATTGTTTAATGACACAGTCTGCAGTACAACAAAATCATGTGTCTGAAAATCCATATTTCTTGTAATTGTCAGGCTGTGCATGAAGCTTAATGACTACAGATGTTTTTTTTTCTCATTGTAGGTTTTCTGCCATGTCTGTCAAACGGGAGGCCGTCCTGAAAGATGAAAATCTGATCACAAATATAGAGGAGATAGCAAAAGACACAGCACTTTTACACGGGGTGTTGATGCGGACCAAAGAAACACCAAACTCTCCTGAAGTAAGAGCACATCATGTTTCAAGTGCCTAGAAGAAATGTCATTGAGACATTAACAAGCACTGCTTATCTAAGCCGCAAAGCCCACCAGGAGCATTTTTGCTTTGGGGGCAGGAAAGGTTGTCTTGGGGAACCCATTTACATTCTTGTATGATATTTACAGTATAATAAATATATTATTTAATGTATAATATAATTTTCCTCTAAAATCATAACAAAAGTTTGATAAATGTTCGATATAATGCTTATGCACTATGCAAAATATAACCAGTCACACTGGTGTCAGTACCAATTTGCTTAAGTGCTGTTAAGCGCTGCCATATCTGTTGCCAATCCCAATTTGCCTAACGTTCTGTTGCGTTTGGGAAACTTTAGACAGCAAATGCGCTGGAAGCTTTTTTCTGTGATTTAAACTAGTTTAAAGACAGATGAAGCAGCACTGACATGGAAATCAGGAGTCTTTGTGCATTTGTATTGCACTAAATGTCTTTAGGCTTTTTTTCATAACAAATACTATAGAAACAATATATTTACTTTTTACTATGCTGGTGAGAGGCAGTACATGGTTTATCTGTGATTAACCATTTTTAAAGATGTACATTTATATTGATTCATAAAAACAGTAACAACTGTATCCCAACTCAAGCTACCGCAACTTTAAACTCAAGCTACTCATGTAATATTCATTTGTGAAATGTTCACATGTTTGGCAATTGTTTGTCATGTTCTGATGATAAAGAGTAGGCTTTGATGATAAAACCACAGTTAACTCTGGTTTCTACAACTTTCACTCCCTTGCAAAAATCTGCCCTTAAAATGGAAAGAAATAAAGAGTTGACTTTGATCAGAAATTGCTAGTACCTTTCACAAATAAATACAAAGAAACAGCTAATAACATATTGAATTAAATGTTGTTGTTTTTTTTTAAATAAAAAGACTAAATGTGAAATGTACTCCAAAAATATTTTATTTACAACTTTTTTACAGTGTACCCTACAGGAAAGGCCCCTGGTGGCTCTGTAGAACTAACCCAGATCTAAGACGTCTAACCAAGACTCTTGGAAAGCCATTATTCCAAAGAAATACAGGCAAAAAGGATTTCAAATCAGTATTGTGATTGAAACAGGGGTGTAGCCATCATTTCAGAAGTGAGGGGGACAGAAATGTTAAATAAATATATATATATGACATTACAATATAACATTTCTGTAATCTATATAACCAACCAGTCAACAGTTTTTGAACAGTAAGATTTGTAATGTTTTATAAAGAATTCTCTTCTGCTCACCAAGCCTGCATTTATTTGATCCAAAGTACAGCAAAAGCAGTAATGTTGTGAAATATTTTTACTATTTAAAATAACTGCTTTCTATTTGGATATATTGTAAATGTATTCCTGTGATCAAATCAGCATCATTACTCCAGTCTTCAGAGTCACATCCTTCAGAAATCATTCTGATATTCTGATTTGCTGCTCAAGAAACCTTTTTTAATTATTATTATTATTAATGTTTTTTGAGCAGCAAATCAGAATATCAGAATGATTTCTGAAGGATCGTGTGACTGGAGTAATGATGCTGAAAATGTAGCTTTGAAATCACTATAAATTACGTTTTAAAATATATTAAAATAGAAAACAGTTATTTGAAATAGGCTAGTAAAAATATTTCAAAATGTTACTGTTTTGCTGTACTTTGGATCAAATAAATTCAGGCTTGGTGAACTGAAGAGACTTCTTTAAAAAACTTTAAAAATCTTACTGTTCAAAAACTTTTGACTGGTGTATAGTCAACTTTAATTGTTCTCTAATTTCTAGCTTTTACTTGACTTAGAAATCAGATAACTGCTGGACAATAACCAATAATAATGATTTGCTTATATACTTCAAACACTTTTTTTATCACATAATAAGGCAGAATAGTTTCTATACTGTAATAAATGCTATGTCAGTTAGCACTGCATTGTTCATATAATTTATTTATTTCCTGGAGATGACTTGACAAACACAAATAAACCACTACAACTTTCACTCCCTTGCAAAAATCTGCCCTTAAAATGGAAAGAAATAAAGAGTTGACTTTGATCAGAAATTGCTAGTACCTTTCACAAATAAATACAAAGAAACAGCTAATAACATATTGAATTAAATGTTGTTGTTTTTTTTTAAATAAAAAGACTAAATGTGAAATGTACTCCAAAAATATTTTATTTACAACTTTTTTACAGTGTACCCTACAGGAAAGGCCCCTGGTGGCTCTGTAGAACTAACCCAGATCTAAGACGTCTAACCAAGACTCTTGGAAAGCCATTATTCCAAAGAAATACAGGCAAAAAGGATTTCAAATCAGTATTGTGATTGAAACAGGGGTGTAGCCATCATTTCAGAAGTGAGGGGGACAGAAATGTTAAATAAATATATATATATGACATTACAATATAACATTTCTGTAATCTATATAACCAACCAGTCAACAGTTTTTGAACAGTAAGATTTGTAATGTTTTATAAAGAATTCTCTTCTGCTCACCAAGCCTGCATTTATTTGATCCAAAGTACAGCAAAAGCAGTAATGTTGTGAAATATTTTTACTATTTAAAATAACTGCTTTCTATTTGGATATATTGTAAATGTATTCCTGTGATCAAATCAGCATCATTACTCCAGTCTTCAGAGTCACATCCTTCAGAAATCATTCTGATATTCTGATTTGCTGCTCAAGAAACCTTTTTTAATTATTATTATTATTAATGTTTTTTGAGCAGCAAATCAGAATATCAGAATGATTTCTGAAGGATCGTGTGACTGGAGTAATGATGCTGAAAATGTAGCTTTGAAATCACTATAAATTACGTTTTAAAATATATTATAATAGAAAACAGTTATTTGAAATAGCCTAGTAAAAATATTTCAAAATGTTACTGTTTTGCTGTACTTTGGATCAAATAAATTCAGGCTTGGTGAACTGAAGAGACTTCTTTAAAAAACTTTAAAAATCTTACTGTTCAAAAACTTTTGACTGGTGTATAGTCAACTTTAATTGTTCTCTAATTTCTAGCTTTTACTTGACTTAGAAATCAGATAACTGCTGGACAATAACCAATAATAATGATTTGCTTATATACTTCAAACACTTTTTTTATCACATAATAAGGCAGAATAGTTTCTATACTGTAATAAATGCTATGTCAGTTAGCACTGCATTGTTCATATAATTTATTTATTTCCTGGAGATGACTTGACAAACACAAATAAACCATATACTGTTGCAATCGTATGTTTAATGTCTTCATGTTTCCAAACGTTTCTGTTTTCTGTGAAAACAACTGTTTTCATACAGCAATAGCTGCGATAGCTGGACGCTTTTGTCCATATTCCGGAATTTCCTCGTACGACTTTCTGCGCGCGAGTGCCCTCCAGCTTCGAGTATGAAGGAAACACACACTGCATGAGTGTTTAGCGCTCCGCAATGTTCATCTCGCCTTATTCTGAATTTAAATCTATATTTATTCACACCGGCTCTTGAAAACCTCCATGCGAACACACTTGCCCGAAAAAGTAAGGGGGACGAATTTACGTGATATTAAAAGTGGGGGGGATGCGTTCCCTGCGTAATCTACGCCCCTGGATTGAAACACTAGCCGACATCTAGTCACAGAGGTGCAGTTAACTCACAGTCATGACTGGAATTCTGTCTGTCCTACGGCCATGCTTTGTTTCTGGATTATGGAGTGTTAGTTTTGCCCCGTTGAGTCAACACTGGGCAGAAACCCGTGGCTCAGAGAATCAGGAGGGACTGAAGGGTTTTGGTCATGTACATGCATGTCGAATAAACGTCTGTCTGTTCACAGGTGGTGAGTTATGCACCGTTCACGTTGTTTCCCACACCGGTGCCCACAGCACTCTTTCATCAGGCTCTGGCAGTACAGACACATTTTAACCGGTTAGTGGACCGGGTCAGCCAGAATCCCTCCTTCCTAGAGGAAACTCTGGCCAGGTATGAAATGATTGCCTTGTTGCTAGGGAACTAGGGAACAAAGGGTTTCAGCTTACAAAAAAGTTTTGGAATCCCTGCTCTATTGAATTGCAAGTTGACTTCATTGAGTGTCATATTTCTTATTGCCATATTTTGTCCATTTTAATGGTGAAATGTGCCATTTTTATGTTAAAATACAGTCTCCTAATGGTGGGGAAGTCGTGGCCTAATGGTTAGAGAGTCGGACTCGTAACCCAAAGGTTGTGGGTTCGAGTCTCGTACCGGCAGGGATTGTAGGTGGGGGGAGTGAATGTACAGCGCTCTCTCCCACCCTCAATACCATGAACCCCCAACTGCTCCCCGCTGCTCCGGGTGTGTGTTCACGGTGTGTGTGTTCACTGCTGTGTGTGTGTGCACTTTGGATGGGTTAAATGCAGAGCACTAATTCCAACTAACACCATACTTGGCCACATGTCACGTCACCTATACCAGCTTCATATGCAGAGACAATAAAAACATTCCTCTAATTGTTTGAGAATCCTAACAGCATGTCACTCTATAACACTGACTCTGCAAATGGCATTGGTTTGTCCAACCAATGGGAGATAGTTTGGGAAACTATTATTTTTGCAATTCCATCTAGTTGCACCAAAATTACACACTTGACCTTTAATTCAAACTTTAATAATTTTGGTGTGGTCTGATTCAAATAAATGATTTTTTTGCTTCAACAGCACCATCAAAGTTGACAATTTTACAGCAAGACTTTTCAACATATACAAACAAGTTCAACAGGAACATTGTCCCCAGGTATGTAGTTTGTTTAATATTTAAAAATGGCATGTTACACATTACTTTGGAACATTTACTTCACTGTTCAAGTTCTGTTTTACACTACCGTTCAAATTTTTTTTGAAAGAAATTAATATTTTTTATTCAGGAAGTTAGAATTAATTTGATCAAAAGTGACAGTAAAGACATAATGTTAAAAAATATTTCAAATAAATGCTGTTCTTTTGAACTTTCTATTCATCAAAGAATCCTGAAAAAATGTCAGTTTCCACTAAAATATGAAGCAGCACAACTGTTTTCAACATTGATAATAATCAGAAATGTTTCTTGAGCAGCAAATCAGCACATTAGAATGATTTCTGAAAGATCATGTGGAGTAATTCAGCTTTGACATCACAGGAATAAATGACATTAAAAACAGCTATTTTAAAGTGTATTAAAGATTTTTAATAATATATAAGAGACTTGTAATAGAATCTTACGGACCCTAAACGTTTGAACGGTAGTGTACATGTACAGCATCAACAGTGCGTCTCCTCTTCCATGTAGTACAGCGGACTCCTTATAAATGTAATATTAATGCTATTGTGTAGATTATTAAGATACATTTATTTAAACTATAGCTCATGTCTTCCCCAAGTCAATAGTGCTGGGCTTGAATCGCTCCGACTACATGTTGGACCACAGTCCACATGGTGGGACGTCTCTAAAGCAGATTGAAATCAACACTATTGCTGCAAGTTTTGGTGGTCTTGCTTCACGGACACCGGATGTCCATCGGTAAGTCTGAGCTACATGCTAAATTTAAAGCTCCAAACAGCACTGGTTCATCACTGAAGTACTGAAAGATGTTTAGTATATAAAGGTTAATGTCAGTGCTGTGACACGCTGCTTCTCATTTCTGTAAGGCACATTCTGAAGGTCACAAACCTGCCAGAGGAGTCTAAAAATGTGCTCGACAACAACCCAGCAGCAGGTCTGGCCAGGGGTTTGGCCAAGGCCTGGGAGCTCTATGGATCTGAAAGGTGTGTTTTAAAATTTGGCAAAGCTGAATTTCCAGAAATCATTCTAATATGCTGATTTGATGCTCAAGAAACATTTCGTATTATCCACGTTGAAATGATTAGTCGCAGACTTTTGAACCATAGTGTACTTACACATTGAAAGGTTGAAAATGAGAGTTGCAGTCACTTCGTGCTTTATAAATGTTTACTTTGTAATCGAAATGATAAAGTGATCATTTCTTTGTCTGATGCGTTCCCTTACAGGGCAGTGGTTATGTTTCTGGTTGAAGACGTTCAGAGGAATATTTATGACCATCGATATGTAGAGAATGAGCTGTGGAAAAGGTACAGTAAGTAGTAGTTTTGCTGTAATCGGGATTCAGTGTCAAGTTATTTTACATTAATTACTATGTAATTACTACTGTTACTACAGTAGTAAGTACAAGGCATGACCAACATGTACTAAATGTATGTAATTCTGGGTAACACTTTATTTTAAGGTGTCCCTGTTACAGTGTAATTATACATATACTGTAAGTACTGAGTAATATTAACACCTTAAAATAAAGTGTTACCCAATTCTGTTATTAATAACACATCCGTATTAGTGTAAGCATCTTTTTCCACCAAGAGCTAACAGGGACTGAAGTGACGATCTGTTGTACTGTATGTGCAGAAATATTCCTGTAATAAGAAGACAGCTAGAAGATGTTTGCAGAACTGGATCCCTGGATGAGAGCAGGAGGCTTTTTGTGTAACGAAATGATAAAGTGATCATTTCTTTGTCTGATGCGTTCCCTTACAGGGCAGTGGTTATGTTTCTGGTTGAAGACGTTCAGAGGAATATTTATGACCATCGATATGTAGAGAATGAGCTGTGGAAAAGGTACAGTAAGTAGTAGTTTTGCTGTAATCGGGATTCAGTGTCAAGTTATTTTACATTAATTACTATGTAATTACTACTGTTACTACAGTAGTAAGTACAAGGCATGATCAACATGTACTAAATGTATGTAATTCTGGGTAACACTTTATTTTAAGGTGTCCCTGTTACAGTGTAATTATACATATAAGTACTGAGTAATATTAACACCTAAAAAATAAAGTGTTACCCAATTCTGTTATTAATAACACATCCGTATTAGTGTAAGCATCTTTTTCCACCAAGAGCTAACAGGGACTGAAGTGACGATCTGTTGTACTGTATGTGCAGAAATATTCCTGTAATAAGAAGACAGCTTGAAGATGTTTGCAGAACTGGATCCCTGGATGAGAGCAGGAGGCTTTTTGTGTAAGTGTTTATGATTTACACATTTCCCATCTGTGTAACACACTAATATTAGCATTGTAGAATACTTGGAAATGACAGCAATGTTCAGTCATAAAAACACAATTACCTGACTATTTTTGTCCAACTTCAGAAGTTCCACACACAGATTGAAATTTAGTCACGACTGTACACAAATATGTCAATAAAGGCCTCATTTTTTTTCAATTCAACCTGCAGAGATGGTCGTGAGATCGCCACTGTCTATTTCCGTAATGGATACATGCCCCAAAACTACACCTCAGATAAGGTGAGGACACTTTTTTTTTTGTTCCATTGTAAAAAAAGTTTCTTCTCAGAAATGATCAGTCTTAGGTGTTTGCTGGGAATGTAAGTCATAAGCTGATGCATGTTTCAGAGCTGGGAGGCCCGTCTGATGATGGAGCGCTCTCTGGCTGTGAAGTGTCCAGACATCAGTACCCATCTCGCCGGTACTAAGAAGGTGCAGCAGGAATTGGCCCGGCAGGGGGTTCTGGAGCGCTTCTTCCCTGACGAACCTGAAACAGTTGCTCAGATTCGGGCCACTTTCGCTGGGCTGTACACCCTGGACATGGTAGAGGAGCAACATTGTTAACTGGGGTGCTGAATCCTGCTTGAACAGATATACCCTATTATTAGATTTAAAGAGTTAGTTCACCCAAAAATGAAAATTCTGTCATTAATTACTCACCCTCATGTTGTTTCAAACCCGTAAGACCTTCGTTAATTTTCGGAACACAAATTAATATATTTCTGATGGAATCTGAGAGCTGTCTGACCCTGCATAGACAGCAACGCAAATGAAATGTTGCTGCGCCACGCGGATACGCTGTTTCCGTTCAGATCAAATCACAACAACGTAGAAAATAGATCCGGCGTGACGCAGCTGACACAGAACAGCATACGTTGTTTTACGTCCAGTGGATACTCTCCAAAATGGCACCAGGGTGATGAGGAGGAGATGAATTGTTGAATAAAGTTGTTATTTTTTTTTCCTTTTGCGCACAAAAAGTATTCTCGTAGCTTCGTATAATTGCGGATGAACCACTGATGTCACATGGATTATTTTACAGATCTCCTTGCTCTGTTTCTGGACTTGGGAACATTTCAGTTGCGTTGCTGTCTATTTCAGATTCCATCAAAAATATCTTAATTTGTGTTCCGAAGATGAACGAAGGGCTTATGGGTTTGAAACCTGAGGGTGAGTAATTATGACATAATTTTCATTTTTGGGTGAACTAACCCTTTAACTCTAATCAAGCACTTGAACCAAACTCAAGGGTTACACAGGAATCACCATCATAAAGCCGCATTCACACTAGACTTTAAGCACGCAAAACAAGAAACAGTGGCTTATTCGTACATTTGCAGAAATTTGTGCATGAAATTGGCATAGAAACGTAGTCATGAGCAAATCAAGATTCAGCAATAACTTTTGTACTAAATTAATTCTAAATTTACAAAAGAATGTGAAAACAGTTTGGTGGGAGTAATGAAAACCTACAAAGGAAGGGTTGTGCGCAAAGCCCTTATATGGAAATGGTTTGGGTGTTCCTATGTAAATTACTAGCCTCTGGCACGCAGACTAATACTCCAAATTATTTAACATTAGAACAAGATTAAGAACAAATTCATGAGTACACACGTGTTGTAAATAAGGTGAAAATTTTAGGTGAGAAATGTTCTTGTTTAAATATCTAGTTCAGTAATGAATCTCTAGATGGCGCTTAGCATGCAGTCTGCTAGCGATCACATCATTTACTACATGGCACAACACGACTGGCTACAGTTGATTCTGCAGCCAGTGAGATTGCTTGATCCTTATTTAAGCAATCTGGTTCAGTGTTCGCTGTAAGCTAGTCCTGCCTTACACTAGGGCTGTGCAATATATCGAAATATCGCAAATGTACATATCGGACTATGCATATCGCTACAGCTTGCAATATTTGGGGCCATGAACAAAAGACAAAGAGAAAATCACTCACTGCTCTTACCTAAATAACTTTTGTAGCTTAAATAAGAATCAGTGCATATTGAATTCAAAGAGTAAATACTAAGCAGTGGTTTATTTTTCCTTTTTATTATTCAGTTCCTGAACTCATGTTAACATGATTACACTAATGTTAAAATGACATTTTTATGTAATGCTCGAGTAAAACACTACCGTTCACTTTCATAAGTTGTTGTGGGGGTGCTTTCTTATTAGAATCAGAATCAGAATGAGCTTTATTCACCACTTAAGTGTGCACAAACACACGGAATTTGTTGTGGTTTTACATGAACTCTTGGTACATACATACAAATAACCATATACGTATATATGACACAAGATAGTTATAGAAGTTCACAGAACTGACTCAACAACAGCTGAGTAAAACTGTTTCATCTGAGGATGTGGCACTTCACTAAGCATTATCGTATCGCATATCGAATATCGCATTATTTTATAGACGACCGTTTCGTGAACCTAGGAGAGGAGGTAATTCTGACTTTGCTATGACAATCTGGCACTTCTGAATCAGCTACTGTTTTGTTATTAGTTTAAGTATTTGCTATTGACTGTTCAAATGCGGAGTTTTGCGCATCGTGTGTGTGTGTGTGTGTGTGCGAGAGAAAGAGAGCGAGAGCGAGAGACATCACAGTGGAGTCAGCTGTCTTAACCGTGGCTTGTGTACTGCAAACACATACCAGCTTCATCACTGTGTCTGTCACGAGACTCTGTTCCCCTTTCAGGCTCTGTCTTTACATTTATTTTGAAAGATGAAGCTCGAGATTATGGTAAGGGGCGTTACATTTCCGACGAGTGCTTGCGGTGTTCGTCCAATAACAATGCACTGGGTCAGCTGGCCAATCAGAGCAGACTGTGCTTGTTGGAAGGAGGGACTTTGTAGAAAACGAAGCGTTTGAGAGAGGCGGGGCATAGAGGACCTACAATAATGTACAGTATTTGATTACATTAAAGCATGTCAACATATTCTGTTACACCAAATACACAAAATAATGATCTTTAAAAAAAGCATCATATGACCCCTTTAAACTACATTGGTAACATGGTAGCCAACATCCATGGCCAAACATTAATCATTAAATGATTATGATCATGATTAGTGTTGATATACATAATTAAGCACCAAATCAGCATATTAGAATAATTTCTGAAGGATCATGTGACACTTAAGACTGGAGTAATGACTAAATCTAGCTTTACGTCACAGGAATAAATCCCGTTAAAAGTATTTAAAAATAAATAGAAAACTGTTACTTTATTTAGATATTCATTTTAATACTGCTATACAATATTACTGTTTTTACTGTATATTTGATGAATTAAATGCGACCCAAACACCAAACTTGTGAATGGTAGTGTATATTAACTGTGGAAACATTATGTAATTTCAATGAAATGTAAAAAGATATTCTAGGAAAATCTACTGGAGATTATTTTCTACCTGCGCTAACAGAAATAAAAAAAAAAGCACAAATAAAGAAGAAGAAATCTAACTCCAATCAAACATCATTCTGAAATCCATGTTTATTTCAATCTCCACATTACAGCCACAGAAATCACACTCTCATCACCAACCAACCAAAGGCAACACCAGAAACACCTCCATCCTCTCGTTCATTCACTCAACTCTGGACACGTCACTGTCAACTTCTGAAAAACTGGTTCCAATAAAGCAAGATAGTACAAAGATGATACAAGACATGCATCAAATTTCAACCAATGAAGAACAATGAAAAAAAAAAAAAGAAACGCTTGACGAAGTTACAAGATCTCAACAATTAAACAAGGCCAAAAGAGTTGTTCTGAAAAAAGAATCGTATGATGGTTAAATCTGTATTGAATAGTGGGATTATCGTGAAGATGCTTTTGAACACGGAAACATTCCAAAATGTTACAAAGAAAGAAAGTGGAGTCTCTACACATTTTCTTGGCTGTTTAGCTTAATATCCTGACTGAAAAGCAACAGGCAGTCAGTGAAGTTAGTTTAACGGGGAACAGATAAGACAAAGACTCAAACAAACTAATGTAAAATCATCTATCGGAATGTGCAGGGCAGAATGACGCAATGATCCACATAGTAACATCCCTCCTGCCACACAATAGTACATACTTCATGATGTACACACTCGCTTAGCCACATAACAATCAAAACGCATCAATGCAAGCGCCAACTGAAAATGAAAACGAAAGAAAAACACTGCGTGGTTCTAACTACTTGATATGAAAGAAAATAAAAGAAACTTGTGTGAGACAGCCGATAAAACGAACTCAGATTATAGGCGTTTCATTAAGTAGATTTTACATTCGTTGATGCTTCCCCCCCCCCCGGTTCCCCTCAGCCCAAAATATACAATGAATATATACACATTATATTCACTACAGTGAACTTTCAAAACAATAAGGCATCCTCGTATGGACTTTATATCATCATCAAAAACATGAAATTGATGAACGTATTTAAAGCGACACTGTCTGACCACCTGATTTTTGATGCCTAAAATCCAAATCTTCCCATGACTCTTTTCCTATGAAGAAAAACACAATGTTGAACATAGGAAACTTTATTAGAAATCAAGACAGTGCCGTTGAATAGAAACGAGCCTGAATGATAGTCACATGACCGATGTCATGTGCTACGAGGCCCAAACCAACACAACGCCGCAAAGTACCGCCTCGTAAGCTTATAGTTGCAGGGTCAGCGAATTGACCCCATCCCTGACCCGATGAGAGAATCACGGCGGTCGGTCGCCAGACAACCATTAAGCATTTGCTTTTTAAAAACTTCCATTTCTGCGTTAAAAAATGGTACATAAAAATATACGTTTTGTGCAGTACAAGTTAGTGCAATTGTATTTTTTCCCTCTTGTTCTTCTCATTGGCACTTAGTGAAAGTTATGATCATGAGAGGGATGCTCTTTCCTTTCTGGGAAAGAGAAGACAAAGCTGCTCTAAGCTGTCAATATATTTTGATAAATTCGGTCATTTGGCAATTACGCACCTGCTCAATTGTTTCTTTGATTCCCATCATTAATGGTTAAACTGCTACATTTTTTGAGAGCTACATTTTGATTGCCAGTTTTGGTCGGTCTGATGAAAGCTGAAACATGATTTAATTCCTATACCTGGAAGGTAAAATATAATGTCAAATATTTTGTTTGGGTTGGAATTAGAGTTTCTTTTTTTGAGGAATTATTCACCCCAAGAATAATAAACGTAAAAGAAAAATTGCATTTTGGAACTAAAGGGATAACAATTCTCATAATTCCTCATGTTGTTTCATAACTATATGACTTTTCTTCTTTTTTTAATCTAAATATCTAAGAGAAGATATTTTGAAAAATGTCTCACCATCTCTGGTATTTTTGTCCACACAATGAAAGCCAATGGGGTCCAATGTTGTTTGTAACCCCTTTTAATTTCAATTGTATAGACAAAAAAAATATATAAAATCTTTCCATGTTTCACTAAATTCGGTCATTTGGCAATTACGCACCTGCTCAATTGTTTCTTTGATTCCCATCATTAATGGTTAAACTGCTACATTTTTTGAGAGCTACATTTTGATTGCCAGTTTTGGTCGGTCTGATGAAAGCTGAAACATGATTTAATTCCTATACCTGGAAGGTAAAATATAATGTCAAATATTTTGTTTGGGTTGGAATTAGAGTTTCTTTTTTTGAGGAATTATTCACCCCAAGAATAATAAACGTAAAAGAAAAATTGCATTTTGGAACTAAAGGGATAACAATTCTCATAATTCCTCATGTTGTTTCATAACTGTATGACTTTTCTTCTTTTTTTATCTAAATATCTAAGAGAAGATATTTTGAAAAATGTCTCACCATCTCTGGTATTTTTGTCCACACAATGAATGCCAATGGGGTCCAATGTTGTTTGTAACCCCTTTTAATTTCAATTGTATAGACCTGCACTACAACTCCTCGCGCTGAAGTACACTAAAGGCTCTCTCCGAAAGGCTCATTCTTGTTTAGAGGTATTACTTTAGCAATGTGTGTTGAAACAGTTCTTGACTATTTGCTAAAACGCTTTGCGATGCAATGCTAAACTGAACTCTGCTTGATCAAAATAGAAATGGCCGCTGAAAAGTGCAAAATGAAGCGGTAAGTCCAGAATCGGTTTGATTTTGAACAAAATCAAGCTGTGTGAAGCTTAAATGATGTCCATATAAATGAATTTGAGTTGCTCGGTAAGTGCAACCAGGTTTGAGAGGGTTTAAGGTACTCAATAATACCCATCAAAAATAGCTTACAGAGTTTTTAAACAGACTGCTATGTATAAAGTCTGCCACACTAAAAATCATGGAAAGACGTTAGTGGTATTCCACAGAATGCAAATCTGCTTTGAATGTTTTGTTTCTGGATTATGGATGAAACAAATCTTTTTGCCTTAATATGCAATGCAGCAAAAGCTTTTTTTTCTAAATTCTTTTTCTCTTTTTTTTTGTTGCTTTTTATCAGGTTTTTTTTTTTCTGAATGAAAGTCTCAGTGTTCCACCATGGAAGCGGTAGGATAAGAGCACCCCTCGTGGCCTGGAGGAATCAGTGACATTAAAAAGGCCACCATCTCAGCTCGTGAAGTTCACTCTGAGAGTGTGCAGGGGACACCGGCGCTCAGTCCGTGGAACAGCCGCAATAAAAGAGCACGTTTTGAAGTGGGGTAAAGGATCAAGCTCAGTCAGTGAAGCGCTGGCAGGCCTTCTTCCAGCGGCACGCTGTGCACCACAGGTCTCTCTTCTCCATGCCGTACACCTTTCGGCACTTCTTGGCTTCACCACGCGGTTTCCTGGGAACGTATTTCACATAGTTTTAGCGGCTTCAAAAACATCATAAAACATAAGAGCGAAACCATCTGGACAGCTTACCTGGTTCCAGTAGTGGGTTTGGAAGTGGAGGTGGAGGTGGTGTTGGTGTGTGTTTTGCTGACAGTGGTGTGGTTAACAGGCTGTCTCTTCTCACCGATGCTAACAGTGCGGATCTGAGTCATCGGGCCCTGCAAAAGCATTTCATGTTAAAGGTGATCTAACAAAAAGCTCAACCATTACCTTAACACAAAACTTAAGACATGTTTGCATCTCATTTAACACTTAGACCAATCAAAAGTTTGGAGTCGAGTACGATTTCATGTTTTTGAAAGAAGTCTCTTATGCTCATCAAAGCTGCACTTACTAAAATATAAATATTTTGAAATATTATCACAATTTAAAATAGCTGTATTCTATTTTTAGATATTCTAAATCTTACATTTTATTTGTGTTTTTCAGCATCATTCCTCCAGTCTTCAGTGTCACACGATCCTTCAGAAAGCATTCTAATATGAAGATTTGATGATCAAGGAATATTTCTGATTAATATTTTTTTGTGGTATGTTTTTTTTAGGATTACTTGATGAATAGAAAGTTCAAAAGAACAGCATGTATAAGTCTTTTGTAACATTATAAGGGTCTTTACTGTCACTTTTGAGTAACTCAGATAATCTTTGCTGAATAAAAGTATTAAAAAAGAAAGAGAAAAAAAAAACTTGACTCCAAACTTTGGAATAGTATAGTGTGTATATTTATCACAATTAGTTATAAAAGTAATTGTTGTTCATATTTTATTGTGTTTTTATGCCTGATTTCACACCATTATATTATATTATATTATATTATTCTATAATAGAAAAATACTGTGATTTATAAATTTTCTGCGTGTTGTGGGTGGTTGCTATGAAGTCGTTATGCAGTTGCTAGGGCATCCAGGTGGTTGCTAGGGTGTTCTGGCTGATTTCTAAGTGATACATTTTCACAGCTATACTTTCCAAGGCAAAATAATAATAATAACAGTGATGCTTTCCTAGCAAACACTGCCAACAGCACTTTCCTGATCACAGTCTGTACTCTTTAACTAGTTCATAATAAACTGCGTCTTTTTAACAGGCACTCCGCAGATGTCTGCAGTTCCCTTGTTGTCAACCTGTAACCAGGGTTTGGAAGCTACTTTCATTGTTTTGCAAAAGCATCTGAGACAGGAAACCAAAAGTCATGCAAGTGCAACTTCTGAAAGACCCCAAGACACAGAGAAAGACAAGCTGGGAGTGACAAACGAGACTCAAGCGGGCTCACAGGATCACTGCCCTTTCGACATTTAGTGAGCCCAGGCTTTTACAAGGTGACAAACGCTGTCGAATACGTCTCTGAGAGGAAGAAAACAAGAAAGAAAGAAGTAGCCATCTCACCGGTAGCCCTTTATATATGACAGGGGGCGACTGCCAGGATACACTAATCCTGTCCTCACTGTGAGGCGGATCAGAGGGCATGCTGGGAATGCTGACAGGGCTTGTAGCCTGAAAAACACAGTGTGTGTAAGAAGCGGTATTACCAAAGCCAGCAGAGAGAGAAAGAGAAAGATCTGTCAAGTACAACCGCCCACCGATAGCCAAGAAGAGCTGCCTCGAAGACAAGCCAGTGGCCTCAGTCACATTAGAAATGGTTAAACACAGACTGTCTGAGCAGCAGAGGGCAGATCCGGCTCCTGAAATCACGGCCTTCGCTGACCTCATCACACAGACCCATAAATACTTCGCCAGCAATTACAGAGACACATGTGTATGCAGTACTCTGGCTTTGATATTTAACAGAACCCTCAATCTGGTGCACTAGCAAAGGTCAGGTATACAAATCTCTGGCCGTTTGAAAGGTTTTATGAAAGGTCATTCATTCCATTTGGGACTAAATTTCTCAAGAAACTCCAAAATGTAGTCAGACTGCAAATTCTTGCTCTTCAGTAAAATATCTAAACATCCTTAAAACAAGACAAAAGTGCACTTGCAAGATTTTTCAAGATATGGTCTCATTTTGCAAAAATATATTTGAAGTAAGCTTTCTGGCAAATAGTTTCTTGTTTTAAACATAAATCCAACCAAATTCAATGAGGTTTATGTGAAAGTGAAAAAAACAATTGTTTATAATTTTTTAAAAATAATATTACTAATTATAATTAATAACAATTAATTATTTATATATATATGTGTGTGTGTGTGTGTGTGTGTGTGTGATGTAGTATATATAAGACATTATAGTTTTAAGAAAATGAAGGCAGTTTTTAGGAGCATAAAGATTTTTTTAATTGATATTATCGTCAACATTTAAGCACATCCTAAAACTTTCATTACTGTATTGCAACTAATGATATATTATTTAAATAGTAAACTATTTATACTTCGTGGTAGTATTTGTTCATGCTTTAGTATACTTATGTTAGTATTTTCTTTCATTTAAATGTAAATCTATATTTATCTTTAATTTTACTTTTTTAATAAAACAAATCACTCCAGTATTTGTTCCGTACTACAGAAAAATGTATTTGTTACAGTAGTGAAAATCTAATAAGAATCAATTGCAGTTAAAAAGACATTCTTAAACACATATGAAGATATTTTTAATATTCTCTTATCATTTTGCCCATTCATAGCAAGTCCACACAACCACAATTTGCACGCTTTATATATGAAATTCATTCATTATGCGCAGTGATCATGGGTTAAACCACTTCATATGGATTAGATTTCATTGCATTGTTAAAATTATGGTTGCATATGAATGAACGGTTGCGTATGAATGATTTAAGGAATGATGAGACTTATTTGTCTTCCAAAGATGAGGTCTTGTTAGTTTGGAATGACATGAGGGTGAATCAATAATGACAAAAGCTAAATGCAAAAATGTCTTAATGGTCTTAAAATTGGATTTAGCTTCTCCATACAAAATATAATACCTTATTTCTTTTGATTTGGGGTTTATAGTCATACAAAAATGTGATTTCTGTCACCCTCATGTTGTTCCAAACCTGTATGAGTTTCTTTCTTCTGCTGAACACACACAAAAAAAAGACATTTTGAAGAAATGTTGGTAACCAAACAGTTGATGGTCCCCCTTTTTTCCATTCCATCAAAGTCATAGAATGACCTTCATGAATAAATGCATACAGGTTTGGAACGACATGAAACACAACTCTGTCCCTTTAAGCTCTGTTGACTGATGGAGAGAGATTTGAGTCGCATTAATAACTAAAACAGAGCCTTGCGTGGGAGATTTGAAAGAATATGATGTTTCCAAAGTAAAAAAACACACCCACCCACACACACACACACACACACACAGACAAACGCACTATTGAAAAGTGTCCATGAAGACTTTATCACTACACCTCAAACCCATAATATGATACGAGCACTCCACTGTCTGCACACAGACACAGCCAAAACAGAAGCTGTGTAGATGCAGAGTGATGTTACCTGGTAAGCGTGGTCAGTGCGGATATGGCACAGCGTCGACGGTGCTGATTGGCTGAGAGGGGTGTGGATCATGCGGGCGGGCTCAGATCGAGACGCATCACAAGTCAAGACGGGGAAGACGGGGGCCGGGCCGGATGTAGTAGGAGAGGTGGGCGTGAGGTTGGACAGCCCCTCCGAAAGAGTGTCCATGTTCACCTCGATTTCAGAGTAGTAGAAATCCTCCTCGCCATCGCTGTAGTCAGAATCTCCATTTCGCCTGAAAACACACAACACTAAAAGTCAGATTCGTGTGCACGTCCACAGGCGGCCAGCAAGGGGCAGCAGCACCAGCACATTAACAGGATTGAGTTTATATGGGACGGTCAGGTAGCAACAAGAGGCTATTAAAACACTCTTACTACTTCCATCAGAATGCGGTTCCCCCTTTACCTCCTGTTACGGTGCTCAGAAAGGGAAGAGCTCACTGAGCTGCCCCATCTTTAGAGACTGACAGACAATCTGGGCTCTTCAGATTCATCTCCAGTCCAAAAGCAACGAGTGGAACTTTCATTTGAAAAGTTAAAGAAGAGAGCCGATCTGTCTCGTTTCTGTGTAGAAGACTTGTAAATGTTCAAACTGCAGACCAAACGCTTACCCCAGGTGGATGGTGCGGATGTGGCGCTGGATCCCTGAGGAAGTGCTGAGGACTTTTTCACAGTTCTTCCACAGACACTTAAACATCACCTTCATGGAGTTCTGGAACAAACAAACAAATGAGTTACATTTCATAAAGGACATATCAGTAACTCCAAAGTTGCAACAGAACAGTGCTCAGGCTTTAAAGAAGTTTAGATTTCAAGCTTTGGTTCTGTGACGCCGCCTTTGGACCGTGAAGGCAGAATTTTACAATCACAGTCCTGTAAGATTTACATTTTTGAGTCAACGGGAGATTTTCAATATTTAATCTTACATTTGTTAAAGTATAAAACTTAGAAAAATAGACAGCGCAGCTAAGCGATTAGGGCTGAATGAATTGAAATTTGATTTGAAGAAAAAAAATATCGGTACAGTCCTGCCTTAGTGCAGTATAACTATTATACCCACTTTAAAGATGAATTATGAGAGAATAACTAATAAGTGTTCGGAATAAATATCTGAGATATTTTGTAGCAATGTTATTTTAGTGTAATTTATAGTACACTTATATTATTTATGAATTAGCATTTATTTTAAATTTTCATTTTAGTTTATATAGTCATTTTGTTATGTGCTTTTGTCATTTTTATTTAGTCTTTAGCTTTAATTTATATTTTATTTCAATTTTAGTAATCAATATAGTCCTGCCTTATTGCTATAAATATAAACCCCACTTTAAAAATTAATTATGAGAGAATAATAATTAGCAAGAGCATCTTTAAGTGTTCTGAATACCTGAGAACTTTTGTAGCAATGTTATTAGTATTTGTATACAGCATTTATTCATATTTTGAATTAGCATTCATTTTGTTTTTGTATTTCAATTTTAGTTAACACTTTAGTAATTTTGTTGTGAGCTTTTGTCATTTTTATTTGTTTTATTCTATTTATCTTTCTTTTTTTATTTCTATTTTAGTATTTTAGTAATTTGACTATTTTAGTACTAAAGCGTTAAATTTAAGTTGATCTAATATTTATATTTATTTTAATATTTTATTTAAGCTTTATTTAAATTAACAACAACAACAACAACAACAAAACATTTTTAATAATGTAATTAAGAATAACAACACTGTTTTGTAGGGAAAGGAAACCCTTTATATAATGTGCAGGGAAGTGACAGATCAAATGAAGAGTAACAACGTGGTACAAGGAGATCTGCTCTGTTTGCAGTCAAGGCCGTGATCAGCAGTGATTCAGAGGCCTGATTGCGTAAGTCTCCTCCTGTGTATGTGCAGTAGATATTCCCTTCAGCCCACTGCTGCCCCAAAGGCACAAAGGCACAAAGGCTTTTCACTGCTGCAGTGAGACAACTATTAAAACACTTCAAAACAACAGTGACACTGCCAGGTGACGGCATGTGTGTCGTGTGTGTGGGAGATTCACACCTCCTGCGCTCTTCTGTCACTTTCACCAGCGCTCGTTTCCCCTCTTGCTCTAAAGGCTACGTCCACTTCCCTTCAGTCGCGCATGCGCAACATCCTATAGGTTCTGTCAAGCAGTTCAGCTGGTTCGAGTCTTCGGGTTTGAGTCCTTCGTTCATCACGTGACAGCCCCATACGCTTACCCTATGCAGTCTGAGCCGGAAAGAGACTTAATAATAATAACCGACTCTTTATTACCTTTGTTACAACATTCAGTGTTATGGAAAAGAACCATCATGACAGAAATTCACACATTTAGAAACTGTAAGAAGTAAAAAGCTACAATTTGAGAGCAGAAACACATCACGTAACTGTAAGAGTAAATAATAATTATAATAATGATGATAATAATAATACTAACTATGCACACGTTTGTAAGGAAGCTTGTAAATTAACTAATTTCTCTATCCAACGCTGTCACGTCACGTGACAAAAGAATGAACGATTCGAAAGACTCGAGAGATGAACTAATCAATTCTCTTTCCGGCTCAGACTGCATAGGGTAAGCGTATGGGTCTGTCACGTGATGAACGAACGACTCGAAAAAACCCAAAAACTGGAGAGCTGAACTAATCAATTCTCTTTCCGGCTCTTTATGGGGCTGTCACGTGATGACGAACGACTCAAACCCGAAGACTTGTCAGATAAGAGGTGAGGTGAGCTAATCATAGACTGAAGACCCAGGTAAACAATGAATTAATCTTTTCTGTTTCTTATAGCATTATAGTTTTGTATTGTTTGTAGTGTGATCAACGTTTGCGTAAGTAGTAGACGTGTTAGGGAAGCCTGATCCAATCCGGATCCAATCCGTGTGGACGGGGCCTAATCTCATCTGTGTTTATCTAACATACCTGATTCCTGAGTTTCAAAAGGTGATTCAAACAATGAATCAGACTCTCACATACTTTACTGCAATACACTGCTTCTTTATAGCCAAAGTCTCAAATGAGCAGTTAACAAGCACCAACAACTACCTTTAAAAAATACATGAAATAAAATGACTCACTAGGTATTTGTGACGCACAAATTATTTGTGCTTGATCATAAATAAAAACAGTAATATTGTGAAATATTCTTACAATTCAAAATGTTTTCTCCTTTCCCCCCCTTTTTTTTTTAAATATATATTTAAAATGAGATATTTTAGATTATAGTAATATAACTGCACACAAGTTTTTTTTTTTTTTACATTATAGACATTTATTGCTGTGATGCATAAACTTAATACATTTTCAGCATCATTACTCACATGATCCTTCAGAAATCATTCTAATATGTACTACAAAACCAGTTATAAGCGTCAAATTTTTTTTAAATTGAGATTTATACATACATTTATACAATAAATAAGCTTTCCATTGATGTATGGTTTGTTATGATAGGGCAATATTTGGCCGAGATCAAATCTGGAATCTGGAATCTGAGGGTGCAAAAAAATCAAAATACTGAGAAAATCACCTTTAAAGTTGTCCAGATGAAGTTCTTAGCTATGCATATTACTAATCAAAAATTAAGTTTTAATATATTTACAGTAGGAAATTTACAAAATATCTTCATGGAACATGATCTTTACTTTACTTTAAAAGAAAAATCGATAATTGTGACCCATACAATGTATTTTTGGCTATTGCTACAAATGTACCCCAGCGACTTAAGACTGCTTTTGTGCTCCAGGGTCACATATGTTAAATTGCTGCTCAAAAAACATTTCTTATTAAACTAAAACAGTTTTTTTTTGTTTTTGATGCATAGAAAATTCAGCATTTGAAGTAGAAATGATCATTCATTCATTCATTTGAATGAACAATAATAAAATTAAATTTAGAAAAATAATAACTTAAAATAATATTTAGTAAAAAGAAATGTAAAAACCACTCAAAATACTTTTATGACCATTGAGATATATTTATCGGAAGCTAGTTAAATCTGTACCCTGGTTATAAGTGATATCCTGGAGAGTGCGCTTGAAATGTTTAATAGGTTATATAATGTGTCATATTCACAGGGGTTAAGAACGAGAACAGTGTGAATGAATGACACTCCAGAACAAACCGAGATTATATTATCATCATAATTATAATTATCCTCATTTCTTCGGATAAACCCAACCAGGATCTTGATTTGTGAGAAAAATGAGCACATTAACTCTGAAACGTGAAACATGTCCGGACCTGTTCACTGCTCTTATCAGAGTCAATGAGTGGGTGTGTGTCTGCTCACACACATACAAAAACAAGCAAATACTCCTGCTGTTCTCAAGGCCGATGATATTAACCCTTTCACAGATCACATAAGCCTATGAAACATTTACATGTGACAACCATTAAAGTGCCCCTATTATGCCATTTTTAAGGTTCCTAATATTGTTTTGGGAGTCTCCTGCAATAGGTTTACATGCATGCAAGGTCAAAAAAATGTTTTCTCTCAAAATAGGCATTTAATTTCACCTAATTTCCCAACGATTCGTTCGAAGCAGTTCAAGATTCAGTCTCTCTAAACCCCTCCTTTCCGTGAGCATACTCTGCTCTGATTGGTTAGATGGCCCAGTCTGTTGTGATTGGTCTACCGCGTACAGCACATGTCGGAAACTAAACGGCCATTGCCATAGTTCTGTATTGAACGCTCGATAGAAAATATAAATATCTGTTATTTATCATACTTACAGGTTGTGATTCAGTGGAGTCAGCTGGTCCAAATAAACTGGGTACTGAGCCATCTTTCAAGAGCGAGCGTTTTGTGAATCCCACATTGAACTCAAAAAGATTAGAGAAGCAGTCAGTAAAATGACGGGCACACAAAAAAAGATTGGGGGTTGTACTGTTGTGGTACAGTGGAATAATGAATTTTAACCACTGATTCTTTGCAGCCTCATCTTTCGGAAGTGAAAATAAAACTAATTTACTTTCACAGCGTAGGACACAGCGTCTTCTCGACATGACATGAACAAGCTGCAGTGTTTGAGGGCGGGTCAAGTTGTTCGCGGCCAGCAAACGGAGAACATAGGTGGGCATTATGCAACTGTGTTACCCAGTGACGTGTATCCGTCCGTCACGGAAGTGAGATTTGAATTACTGACGACTCGTTTAGGCTGTTCAGAGTCGATTCTTTCATTTGGGAGACAATAACTTTATTTATCGTGCACTTTCGGCTTTACAACTTTGCAGATCGTTTACATTCACATACAGCTACATTACACACTAAATGAAAGGCAATATTTGAAAATGCATAATAGGGACACTTTAATCAAAACAGACTCAAAAAGCAAGCCAGATAATTGGTAGAGCGGGACTGGAAGTGTATGTTTCCATTTGTCTTTATGAATGAACAGCCAGTTCTCTTGTGTTACACTTCACCCAGCTGCTCAGAATTTGGCCTGGTTCACTTCAAAGAACTTTGTTTCTTTTTCTCATCTCCTTTATGCAAAGTGTTTTTTATGGGCTATAGCAGGACATATAGGTATGCAGGGAGGCCTCTGGTGAACTGAAATAATAGTAGAGGTAGCCAGCACTGTTGCCTAAGACAAGACCTAGCAGTATGAGACACATCCATCTGTCTGTGTACTCACACAGAAGAGCCAAAAAATGAGCCCAAACGATATTAAACATTATGTAATGCGCACAAGCAAGAAACGAACAATTCTGCAATCTATTTTTTTATCTTTCTTCAACATTTCGACTAAATATCTAGCTGTGTACAGGGTGGCTAATGAAGTTTCTAACATAATCTGAAACGATCCTAATGGGATCAAATAAGAATCCCCTAAGGATTCTTTTAAAATTAAACATTAAAAAAATCTGTTTGGTAAGATCTAAGTGCTTTTTTAATTGATCCCAGTAGGATCTTTTAAGAGATAGATTTTTTTGTTGTTGATACAAATCCATTAGCAATGCAGTACACATCCTTTAGGTTTTAATAGAAGTCCGAATGGCAAGGCATTTTGGAAGGTTTCACAGCAGAACTCAAAGGTGTAAAACAGCTAGTGGTTGAAATAGGTACTGCATCCCAAATTAAAAATATTGGAGGAAGTTGTTTCTTTCGCCCCCTCCTCATCAGGCTCGACGCTCACGTGAGTTGCCAGATTGAGGACATGCAACAGGAACAAGCAAAACTGACAATGGAAGGCAATGAGCCTTACGCTGTAAGTTGATGAGTTGATTTATCCACGTTTTAACATGCCTCTGGTCATGGGGATTTTTAGATGGATGCAGAGGCATTTTAGGTTAGGTAGATTATGCGATCTCTGGATTTGGCTTCCATGGCTGCACTACATGTGCTTTGCACCAACTGGCAACCCAGGGTGTTGAAATACTATTGGGTAAACTGGCAGTGGGTGTTGTTTTTAAAAGAAACAAGTATGTGAACTTAGCATGTTTCTAAATATCTGCTAAAAAAAAAAATAATAATTTGTGGCCTCTGGACAATAATTTTTTTAGATTTGTGGCCTATTTTTCCTGTGCAAATCATATTTGTTTGAATGATTTTTGGATTTACGCACAGAAGTGTATGTATCTTTTTTTAATTGGACTTGTGTCTGGCGCTACGCTTTTTCAGTTTCTTCCTAAATATCTGCTAACATAATATGGTATTATTATTATGCTTTAATACGGTCAAAATTACATACAGCACCTTTAATTATATCAAGTGTTCTCTACAAAAGAGAGAGTTAAAAAAATACATTATTTTCCACATACTGTACATTATTGTCACATAGTGATGTAGACATGTGGGGACGTGTTAGAACGAGCCGTTTTAGGTAGGTGTGGCTGACTCTTAACTTTTATAAAGAATATCTCTTTGGATTTGAGACTTTAGTCTTTGCAACTTTACAAATCTTCTTTATGCACCAAGAGCTTGTAACACTCCAAAGAGAAAGGAAAAATTGAAATTGCATCATATGACCCCTTTAACAATATTAACAAGTCTAAGTCTTGATGTAAACATTTATTCCAGTGCAATGACATCCACTGATTACCATAGTAAGTGCCTTGCTATAAATGTGATTTTTGTATAAATTGTTAAAAGTAAAAAAAAAAAAAAAAATCTAAATGTAACTGTTTTTACAGTATTTTTTTTAAATCATCAAAAGAGATGAAGCCTTGGTGAGCATAAGAGACTTCTTTAATAAACATTTAAAAAATCTTGGCAACCCCAAAAATATTTTCTGTGCTAAATAACATCCACAGATGCTGTCAATACAGCTTACGTTGTCCTGAACCCAGAAGATTCCTTTTAAATGTCTGATAGCACTCAAGGAAAGTTTTTCTGTCCTGTTTCTGCCTTATTAATTTCTCTGTCCAATATCTGGAATTGCAAAATCAGAATTGAGAAATAAAAAAATAAAAAAACATCTGAGTAAACATATTTCACTTTTCTCCTTTCTTCAGGGAGAGGCGTGTAGTCATGACAGGATCCATGTATACAATATTGTGCAATTGGGAATTGCTTGAAAAACGTGTGTTACAGCATTTGTAGCGCTGTGAAAGGATAAGCTGGAGTGGATCTATAACGGAAACCCCCCCCCCTCATCCACACACACACACACACATCCTCGGCCTCTCCCAAAACAAGGTGAACGAGCAGAAAGGCTAATGGCTTCCTGACATTGAAACCATATTCACATTCTGGAGTCATTCCACAATACAAAAAAAACAAACAAAAAAACCCCAGAAAAGAAATAGAAGAAGGGACAACGAAAGAGAGAGAGCGAAAACATGCCATCACTTTCTGTGGTGCGAGGGTGACAAGACTCATTGGGCCAGAGCCAAGCTGATGTGTTTATTAAAGCTCTTTTTAAGGCAAAGACGGGCAAATTCATTGAACAGTTCAAAATTCAAAGGCACTTTTGTGCTCAAAAACTAACCAGCAGATCTGTTTTCTCTCAGTTTTCTCATTTGCCATGACCTGACCCCCTACCTTTCTTTTTCGGGGGATGGGGTCCTCGAACAGGAAGTGTGTACTCTCGGTTTCCTCAATGTTGTCATCACTCTGGGAGGAAAGCAGGAAGCTCTTGCCGGGATCATTGGAGAGGGGTGGGGACGGCGTGGAGGGCACTGATTGGTCGCTGGCATCCCAGCTCCAGTTCCCACTAGTAGAGCTGCTGTAGCTGGCAGACAGGCTCTCCTTCCAGCCCTTTCCAGCCAAATCTGCACCTAAAGACAGAACACAATGATTTAAAGCAGGAAAAGACCTCTGACAGTTTGACAGGCCAGTTAGGCTATTGCTTGCAGTATGCACTTTCACCTATCCCAGAGCCCAGCACACGGCAGGCATGAAGTAGACGTCCACAGCAAACACATCCACAGATTCAAAAACAAAAAAAAAGAACATAACTAAAAATTAAAGACATAAAACAGAACAGAACAGAAAAAAACTCAACAAAAAATAAAAACAAAAGACAAAAAAAAAACTAAGAAAGACAAAGCAAAAGACAACAAAACAAAGCAAAACAAAAAACAGAACAAAACAAAAGACATAAAAAACAAAGCAAGCAAACAAAAAAAACAGAACAAAATAAAAAAGCAAAACAAATCAAAACCAAAAGAAAACAAAACAGAACAAAAAAAAAGACATAAAACAAAGCAAAACAAAACAAGCAAAAAAAGCAAAACAAATCAAAACAAGTACTTAAAACAGAAGCAAGAAAAAAACAGAACTTGAAAAAATTAAGCAAATTAATTAATTAATTAAAACAAAATAAACAAGTAAAAATAAAAGAGGCATATTCAAACCAATGGCCAATTAATAATGATACCAAAGTTCCAGAGGCTGGTATCTTACTAAAGTCTAAATGCTATCAGTACAACCATGTACTACTATGATTGACCACTTTTGGTGCATCCCAATTTATGCACTATTCCAGGGGTGGCCAACTTCAGTCCTGGAGAGTCACAGTCCTTAGTGTTCTGCTCCAACCTTGATAAAAACTCACCTGCCTGTATCTTTCTAGTAACCCTTAAACCTTGATTAGCTTGTTCAGCTGAGTTTGATTAGGGTTGGAGGGACTGTGGCTGTTTCTCAAATATACCAAGTATGCAAAGTTCGTACTTGCGTCCTCGGTAGTTCGGACTTCGCAAGTTCGACTCGGAAGTGCGAACTCCCGACGACGGGAGGACGCAAGTCTGGTAATTCGGCAAATGGAACAGCAGCGTACTTGATAATGTCAGTCAGCTTGCCTTGGGTACTCCGGTTATCTTTACTGTATGTATACAATACGACGAAATATGATATCAAACTCCACTGACTCTTTTCGTTTTCTTTTCAACATATGAATAGCCGAAAAAATGAAGTTTGGGGAATGTACATAAATTACAGTGAAATGAAATATATCAAACAGCATTGCCTCTTTTCTGTTTCATTTAAAATATTAATAGCCACAAAAATGTGGTTCATGCAACGCGTACACGCATTACAATAAAACAAAATTATTTCAAACACCACTGCCTTTTTGTTTTCTTCAAAATATAAAACACAACCCTTTTCGTTTTCATTTAAAAAATATAAAACATATTAATATGTGGTTTAGGGAATATGTGCACATATACTCTGATTATCTTCACTGAATGTATAATAAAATGAAATATGACAAGCACAACTCTGCCTTTTTTGTTACATGTCAGTTTTAATGAATAATAATAGCCATTATAAAAGTATAACTATAAAGTATGAGAGACATGTAATAGGAAATAAGACAAAAACAAACAATTCAGTCAAATGTATGCAACAAAGTCAGCACTGTATTACGATTAATAAATAAATAATTTATGAAACATAACTTTGTGCTCAGCCAAAACGATATGACCTGGAAGAAATAATAGATTCATGAGACCAAAGATTGCCTGTTAGATTTACCCAAAATGAATGTTTAACCACTACAGAGACATCAGAGCCAGCGGTAAATGTCAGAAGGACTAGCCGAGGTGAGACTGCTCTCAGCGGATACATGAGCACTGAGCGCCTGCTGATCGCGTGGAGCTCACGTCTCCGAAATCGGCGAAGCAAATTCTCAAATAGGCGCTATCTTTATAAATAAACTGCAGATTTGAGTTTTAAACAACTACATTCTCGCCTGAAATACTCTTAGAACTGCATTTCATGACACAATAACAGTAATATTTTGAAAATTGTTGGTTGGTGCGAAATACATTCTAGGACACCTGGCTGCCTCAAGTTTGCACAAGTCACCACTGGATGCATCCTTGAAAAAAGGGGCGGAGCAAGAACACATGCATGGATTTGAACTGTATTTGGCTAGATGTGAACTTTGAATTGGAACAGTACTTGGGCGACGACTGATGACGTTTCACAAGTCCACAAGAACACAAGTACAGACAAGAACGCATAATGAGAAACAGCCGCAGCGCTCCCCAGGATCGAAGCTGGAAACAGTTCGAAACCGATTTTTTGTATAAATAGTGTAATAAGTGTATTCACTCTGGAAAATCCAAATTGCACTTCAAATGCCTGGATGATACATTTAATTAACTGAAAAAGGAAGTGTGGAATGTCCACACTTCGTGCCGTCAACTGCTTTAATTAGACTAAGTATTGGAGGAGGAGGAGCCATCAGACTCTGATGGTAAATTACAAAATAACCTTATAAAATTCATACACTAGACCAGGGATTTTCAAATCTGGCCCACAGTATCCACTTTCCTGCAGAGTTTAGCTCTAACCTTAATCAAACACACCAAGCATGCTAATCAATGTCTTCAGGATCATTAGAAAATCACAGGTAGCTGAGTTTGATCAGGGTTGGAGCTAAACTCTGTAGCGCATTGGCCCTCCAGGGCAAGATTTGAGGAACCCTGCACTAGACGGTTGAGTACATAGGGTATAGAATAAGTGCACAGTATATAGTGCATCATATGGGACACAACATTTCTTATTCGGAGGCTAGGTCAATTTCTGTGAAAGAATGCATGCTAAAGAATTCATTCAGAATCAGATATCCTTTCTTTCACAGAATGCAGGAAATTTGGCATTAGACTCGGTGTGAGAAGTGCTGATTTGTTTGTGCATATTTTACACTTGTTTATTACACTGCGCTCTGGAATACTTGGTCAGGAGCATCATTCCAAAGTGTGTTATTCCCCAATAACAACCATCGTCATTAGAAACGCCAAATAACACACCGCTCATCATAGGCTGGTGCTTCTCTCTTGGTTCATTCAAACACAACTGCTGCAGTTATTGACTGTAAAATGAAACCGTTGTGCAGACTCAAAGTCGTTTGTTAGGAACAGTTTTCCTTTGCGGAAGCTTTGCGTTTAAAGAGCTAATTAAATATTTCAACTCAAATCAATATTGGTGTCTAATTATTTACTTATGTGGCAAGTCGCCGTGGAATAAGCAGGATAATAAACATTCAGGCAGTTGTTATCGCAGGATAAACCCCTTCAGGGTGATACAAGATCCTGATCACTCTTTCGGGGTTTATTCTGCGATAACAACCACTTGGCTGTACATTATCCCTTACATACTGTTTAGTCACATTGGAGTTGGTGAGAACACACCAACACACACACACACACACACACACACACACACACACACACACCTGATGGCACGCAACACTGGGTGAAGATAAAATAACACAGCAGCACTCAAACCTGTACAGCCATTGTATTATTTCATTAATGTGTGATAGAAATTTGTTTCACACCTTGTTTTGTTGCCAGTGGCATTTTTAGTCAAATAAATGTTTTATAAATGGCAAAACATGACCTAGTGTGCACTCTAATAGATGCAGAAATTAACAACTTATGTAACTGCCTCAGTAAATGTTTACATTAGATTCATTTGTCAATAGATCTATAATAATAATAAGAGAAAAGAGAAAGAGAAGAAAATAAAAATGCGCTAAATCATGGTAACACAAGGTTCAGTTTCGCTACTATCATGAACTAACAATGACTAACATTTTACGTAGCATTTATTAAACTAGATTAATGTTAATTTATAACATTATACACTATAGTTCATTATTAAATCATGCTGTTCATAATACATACAATAATGTTAACCACTCAATGTTAAAAAGGTATTAGTAAATGTAAGAAATTAACATGAACTTAGAATAATAAATGATTGACTGATGTTAAATTTTTTTTTTTACCATATTGTAAAGTGTTGTCAAAATCTCAATATTCAAGAAAAAGCTTAATGTTTAATTAGTGAAGGACTGAAATTTCAGTTACAGAAAATATTTGCTTCTTTTTTTTTTTTTCAGTTACAGCCACTTTAAAAAGTCGATCTATAAACAGCCTTATGTGCGATTTAAAGTGCCCCTATTATGGATTTTTGAAATGTACCTTTCATGCAGTGTGTAACACAACTCTAAGGGAATGAAAACATCCTGCAAAATTTTAAATCTGAAAGTGCACCGTGTATGAAGTTATTGTCTCTCAAAAGAAAGAGTCGACTCTGAATCATTGAAACAAGTCGTTTTTTTTTAAACAAATCCCAAGCCGTTTCAGGTTGACGTCAACATGAAGCATTAGCATATTGCCCGTCTACTTGTTGGTCTTTTCGTGTTGGTTTGAATGAAAGTGCAAATTCATTCTTTGCTACTAGGTGCAGCTTTTGGAGCGGTAAAAATAGCTGTTTCCACTGTAACGCTGTACACAAAGCAGCACTGCGCTCACAAACACTGCTTTATCAGGCATTACAGGCAAGATGAAATGAAAATAAGACCAATCGGACCAATCACCGCAGATTAGCATCACGCAAAAGAGGGGTTTGGAAAAATTAATCGTTAAACTAATCGTTTGGGAGTCGTTGAGCAAGTAAGGTAAAAAATAAATGCATATTATAAGACAATGAAAGTGTTTTTTGACCTTGCATGCATGTCAACCTGTTGTATTATAACAAAATATGAACCTTTCATAACCCATAATAGGGGCACTTTAAATGATAATATACAATTCAGTTTTTATTTGATTGATTGATTAATTATTATAAACTTTATTTTTAGTTTTGTTTTTGGCAAAAAATTATTTTCAGTTTAAAAAAAAAACAATTATTTTGGTGCATTATGTTCAATACCATATCAGCAGCCATAACTGTACTTCTAAAATAATTATAAAATAAAACAATAAAGGTTGTAAACACAAATCTGAAGATGTGTTATGTGTTACAAGATGTTGTTGACAGCTATGTACACTTAAGCTATGCAGAAGAATAGGACACACTGTCCAGCTAATGTTAAGCGATAATAACCTTGAACAAACTTAACTAAATCTCTAGGCTTAAACACACCCTTAAGCAACAGTATAAACTGTGGTGACCTTACATGACACCAAAAAGGCAAATCACCCCTATTTCATGACACTTGACCTCTTAGGATTATGGTCTGGGTTCTTCCAGCATGTGCGCACTTGCCGTTTATCAGATGTTTTTCATTCAAAGTGACTTACAGTACACTAATTAAACACTCCCTGGAGTGGCATGATTTAGAGGTTAAGTGCTCGGCTCAAGGGCACAATAGCGCCAGGAAAGACTTAATCTAAGTAATCTAAGTAGCCCTACAGTTTCTGCCTTAATCCTACATGAGGACTGCCGCACCAGTTTGATTTTTCCCCCATGCACATCAGTGTTTTATTGTGGTAAAATCTATTTCAGATAAACCCAGACTGTGGCTGGTCGCTTTACAAGTCCGTCAGACAGTCTTCTCCTGTCTAAGTGGGCGGTTCTTGGCGAGAATAAGCTGCAATGAAGACCAGACCTCATGTCATTAGTCATTAGGCTAACAAAAATACTGAGGTACCGGCAGCCCATGTTTATGCTTTCGTTGTCTATTTTCTATTGGGGAGGAAAGAGACTGTTCTCTGTTATTTGTGCAGCCACGTTGATACTGTACAATAAGTCTTTAATTTCCCAGAAGGGCAATGTGTTGGCATTAAAGATATAAAAAAAATGACAACGCACAAATGAAAAACACATAAAATCCAATCCCAAGGCCAATGTCCTTGATTAAATAGTAATGGAGAGTGGGGAAAGCTGTGCCACTTTTTACTTAAGTTGTCCTCTAGGCAAGAGTAATGAGATATAATATTATTTCAGGATGTCTGCTACCAACTGAAAGCATCTATACTGAAGGGACATTGAAATGTGACTTGTACAAATGTGAACATGAGAAACAGTTTACTAATGCGCTATGTCATTTCAAAGATTTAACTTGCTAAAATTCACATTTCTATAACCCGTCCAGGGAAAGATTTAACATTCAGAATATTTTAATCAATCTATTTTCAACATTTTCTAACAGTATTTGCAGTAATGTTTAATTCCAGCATATGAAGACAAATCACTATTAGTTGATCAGTTTTTAAAAATCTCTTACAGACAGTGGTTTATGACAGGCCCTTTTGAAGTATATGGTCAAGTGACAAATATTATTTAAACTACTGGAGCCTGTAAGGTTTATAAAGAAATTGCTTATGCTCACCAAGGCTTAATTTCATTGATAAAATACAGAAAAAACAGTAATACTGTGAAATATTATTACAATTTAAAATGTTTTCTATCTGAATATATTTTAAAATGTATTCCTGTGATGCAAAGCTGAATTTTTCAGCATCATTTCTCCAGTCTTTAGTGCCACATGATCCTTCAGAAATCATTCTAATATGCCGATTTGCTGCTCAAGAAACATTTCTTATTAAGTTATTATTGTTAATAACAACATTGTTATGTTGAAAAGAGTTATGCCGCTTAATATTTTTGTGGAAATGGTGATACTTTTTTTTCAGGTTTCTTTGATGAACAGGAAGTTCAAAAAGCACTATCTTCTGTAACATTATAAATATCTTTACTGTCACTTTTGATCAATTTAATGAATCCTTTCTGAAAATAAAGTATTAATTTCATTCAAAGATATACAATTAAATCTGACTCCAACCTTTAGAACAAAGTTGTCATACAGCATGCTCAATGACACTCCAGTGTCCCTTATATAATAATAAATAAATCTGTCATCCACAATTCATCATTAACGTAAATTTAGCCAACTAAAATAGCACAATATAAAATCCAAGAAGGTCAGCTAAGATCACATCACACAGCTGATGATCTGAGTTACTAAATAGCTGATGGATCAAACGAGAGGGAAATCATCCATGGCAAGAGTTCAGAGGATCCATTAAAACAGTCTGTTCCCTCCAAGACACGAATATAAGGAGCTGTGTTGGGACAGCAGCTGTTTTGTGACAGCTTAAGAAAACTCTCACTTTTCATTTTGTTCTAGAATCTCGGAAAAGGTCAGAACAAATGCAATACAAGAACGCTTTCACCACAGTTCAGTTAACATTAAAAGTCCTGCTCTTTAAAAAGAACAATCTTTGGTTACACTTCTTAAGGAATAATTCTGCTCAACGAATCAGTTGATCCAGTTCACCAAAACGAATTTGATGTGAATCTCGAGTTTGACTCACTGACCCTTTAGTACCCATTTATTCTAATAGCATGGAAAACAGCAACCACTACATTCCTTAAAATATCTTCTTTCATGTTATATGGGTTTGGAACGACATGAGGGTCAGTAATGACAGAATAATTTTCATTTTTGGGTAAACTATTCCTTTAAGGACACAATCTGTGTCTGATTCAGTCTAATAAAACATCAGTGAGAGAGTTCAAGCACTTCTGTTGCTGCACATTGTCTATTGTCATTTCTTCTGAAACTCTGTGAACATACTTTTGGTTTTGGAAGCCGTGAGCTGAAGGAAAGACCAGTCACTGCCCTTACAAGCCCATTCAAATGTAAATCTGGGTTTCCTTTCATCATGCTAAAAGAGACGTAAAATGGAAAACAGAATTTTTTTCTTTTGAAATAAGAGCCTGATGACCATGTCAACATATGCTAATATTTATTCAAAACTTTATTGTATGTCTACACAGACGATTCTGTGAAACAAATCTGCAAAAACTGCTCAGAAATCATGGTGACTAAGACGTCACAGCCATGAGCTCATTAAAATATGACCACCCATATTTACATATCAATGATTATTCAGCTAGTCTAATGAACGATAGTGTGAACAATGCTGGCATGCTGAAATTAGCCAATCATTTAGGTCATTTACATCTAGAAGTCTTAAGGGTACAGTAGAAAAAAATAGCCTTTTTAATTGACCATTCTAAATTTATGACCATTTTTGGTGCAAGAAACCTTGGCTAACATGGTAAGTTATACAATTAAAACTTATTTTTTTATAAAGTACTTTTAAAAATAACTGTTTTCTGTTCCAATATATTGTAAAATGTAATTTATTCCTGTGATGGTTAAGCTGAATTTTCAGCATCATTACTCCAGTCTTCAGTGTCACATGATCCTTCAGAAATCATTCTAAGATGCTGATTTGATGCTCAAGAAAAACAATTGTGCTGTTTGTTTTTTTGTGGAAACCGTGATACAATTTTTTTTTCAGGATTCTTTGATGAATAGTAAGTTCAAAAGAACAGCATTTATTTGCAATAGAAGTCTTTTGAAACATTACAAATGTCTTTACTGTCACTTTTGATCAATTGAATGCATTCTTGCTGAATTAATTTCTTCCAAAAAAAATTAAAATAATAATAATAATTGACTGATCTCAAGCTTTAGGTGGTAGCGTAAGCAAGCCATTTGACTCCCTAGTCTAAACATTGTGGCCCTATCAAACAAAACATTTGTTTGAGCATCTCTACCAACAACATTGGTTCAACTAATGGCGTGAGTCTGTGGCGGGACTATGTGTTTGAAATGGAACGGACTGTGCTCCAAAAAAAAAAATTATATTTGCAACTCTGTTTGGCGGCACAGAAATCGCACACTTCATTAAAGCCATTTTCTATGTAAAACAAATAAAAATGGAGAAAGAGGGAGTCCTTTTCGGGGCACTTATGGAGGTTTAGAGCTTGTTTGACAAGTCGTCATTCAACCTGACCGCTCTGGGATCTATCAGGTAACAGGGAAGCGAGAAGTAGAGCGACTTTTAACCTGAGGCACTGGAGGAAGGGTTGAGCACCAACGGGCTGGTGGACAGTATGGTCAGGACGGTGGCGGCCATCACTTCTTTATCAGCAAGACCAGAAGGCCTCCTGTTAAAAGAGAGAGAGCGAGAAATGAGGTTTACCAATCACTGACATCTTAAGACCTGGACCAACTAAAACCAATTATGTCAAGCAGAGCCAGATGTTTAGCGCACTCTCACATCAACATAAAACAGCACACATCTGTTAGGTGGGCCGCCCGGGCCTTTCTCTCTTTCTCTCTCAGCCGGAGCGCCTGTTTTCTCTGTTCGGCAGGCCGAGTCCCACAGTAAACACTTCTCTCTGCCGTATCGCAGCTCCCTACTGCGCTGAACACATCACGGGTAATGGAAAATTCCAGTGCAGTAATAAACACTAGCGCGCAGCCTCTTGTGTATGCCCACACAGCACAGCTCCATTATCAACTGTATTTATTCAGCATGTGTGTGGGAGACAGTTTACTCATGTTTGTAAATCAACACCAGGATTTAGTGTGCGGCTGAATGAAATGCTCTGTTAACTGTTTAGTGTCTTGCTCACAGGTGAGATTCAGCTTTGAGCTGTGTATTTATACTGCATGTACATGACTGATGGCTGTTAAATTGGATTGCAGTGAAAGAGGGGGAAAAGGGAGGGATTGTGGGAGATCAGAGAGAGAGGAGAGTGAGTGAGTGAGTGAGTGTTAGCAGACATTACATTTAAATATTTATGCAAATTAGAAATGTTTAAATAAGATTACTGTACATGATGGGACTGATGTGAATGCGAAAGTGGCATGTTGATTCAACAAACACTAAAACACAATATTAAACAAATGTTATGTTATAAATTCATCTCTTGTCAAATGGAAATGATTTTGCTTCTAGTCCAAAGGGCTCATTCTCCAAAAATGTCATATAAATTTGTTTATTTGTACATTTGCATATAATTTAATGTGGCACACTAAAACTTGTCATGACAAGTTTGATGCTAACTGCGATCAGTATGGAACCATGTTGTTACTGTTAAATAAAAGTGTAAATCAAGATGGCTCCGTGTATGGCTGCTTCGGCAAAGTCCCTTTAAGGCAAGTCATTTCACTCGGCGGCCATCTTTGAAATGCCTCTCCGGCACGAAAGTGCAACTCCTATCTCTTTGAATGGAAAACATGATTCAATTTCATATTTGAAATCACCAATGAAATCGGACAACAACTGTCTCATAAATGTTGTTTCTTATGCTCCAATAGCGTTAAAAAAGCGTATTTTTCAGGCTAGACCAGCCAGTGCACATGCAGAACACTGACTGTTTCTATAGCAACCGGGACTTCTAACAGCAGCTGCAGTGATGCGCTGACTTTACCGATTAGCGATTGGCTCTTTTATTCAGAAGGCGGGGCTTCCTTCGATAGAGCGGACATATTGAGCGTTAAGAGCATCAAGACTGGTGCTGGCCCACCTGAAGGACATCACTGGACCCTTGCTGGACTCCCTGCAGTTTGCTTACCGAGCAAACAGGTCTGTGGGCGATGCAGTCAACATGGGACTGCATTATATCCTACAACATATGGACAGACTAGAGACTTATGTGAGGATCCTGTTTACGGACCTCAGCTCGGCCTTCAACATCATCATCCCAAACCTCCTCCTGTCCAAATTAACTCAGCTCTCTGTGCCCACCTCCATCTGTCAGTGGATCACCAGTTTCCTGACAGACAGGCAGCAGCTAGTGAGGCTGGGGAAACTCACAACTAGGACCCTCACCATCAGGCCCAGGGATGCCCCTCAGGGGTGTGTGCTCTCCCCACTGCTCTTCTCCCTCTACACCAACAACTGCACCTCTAAAGACCCCTCTGTCAAGCTCCTGAAGTTTGCAGACGACACCACCCTTATCAGCATCATACAGAATGGTGACGAGTCTGCTTGCTGAAAGGGGGATAAAGAGCTGGCTGTATGGTGCAGTTATAACAACCTGTAGCTGAACACGCTCAAAACTGTGGAGATGATAGTGGACTTCAGAAGGAACCCCCTGCAGTCCCCCCACTCACCATCATGGACAGCACTTTGACTCAGAGTCATTCAGATTCCTGGGCACCACCATCTCTCAGGACCTGAAGTGGGACATTCACATAGACTCCATTGTCAAGAAGGCCCAGCAGATGCTGTATTTCCTTCGCCAGCTGTGGAAGTTCAACCTGCCTCAAGAGCTGCTGAAACAGTTCTACTATGCAGCCACTGAATCCGTCCTCTGCACTTCTATAACTGTCTGGTTCAGCTCAGCTACCAAATCGGACCTTAGAAGATTGTAGTGGATAGTTCGGACTGCTGAGCGAATCACGGGCACAACCCTCCACACTCTCCAAGAACTGCACTCATCCAGAGTGAATAAAAGAGCAGGCAAAATCATTCTTGACCCCTCACATCCAGCACACTCCCTCTTTGAACTGTTGCCATCTGGTCGGCACTACAGAGCACTGAGCACCAGAACAGCCAGGCATAAGTACAGTTTCTTCCCTCAGGCAATCCATCTCATGAACAGTTAACTTGGCAGTAAATACTTTATACTTTTATTTATTTAACACACATACCTCTATTTACATGTTCTTGCATTTGTACATAATACACCTGTACACACAAATACCATCTATCGTCTACTTTGTATATTGTGTATTTATTTAAAAAAAAAATTGTATATTATTTCCTATTTACTTATCCTATTTTTATTTTTTTAATATCTGTTTCTTGTCACTGTCATTCTGTTTGTGCTGTGGAAGCTTGTCACCAAAACCAAAAATTCCTCATATGTGTAAACATACCTGGCAATAAAGCTCTTTCTGATTCAGAATTTTTTTTTTACTTAAACTAAAACTATTTATAGTTTATAGTTATAGCAAATATTTGATGAAAAAACTAATTAAAATAGGAAAACTAAATGAAATAAGTTGAAATACTAAAATTACAAAAACTTTAAAAAAAATAAATAAAAATAAAGTGAAACAGATATATATTCAGATAAATAATAGCATATAAATTATACTAAAATAACACTGGTATGGAAGCAATGTGAAACATGATGGTCATATGTGAATGAAGATTATTAGTGAATAATGATTTCAATTTTGGCCTGTTTGTCACACAAATCATTTGAATATCCCAAAACTCATTTGGAGCACTTTTATGCCTTTTTTTAAAAATGTGTTTAATGTTGACAGCCCTCATGCCAATTCATTTCCATTGTATTTCAGCTAAACGTCTTTTTTTTTTGTTCCACGCAAAAACAAAGTCATACAGATTTGGAATGACAAGAGAGTGAAAAAAGGAACTTTTCACAATTTTTGGGTGGTGAGCTACTCATTAAAAATCAGCTACCTAATGCATTATTTGTAAATATGTAATTTTTTAGCCACACTAGAGAATCATGGGTTATAGAGGCGTTCTAGAAATGAGATTCTTTCCCCGTCTGATCCTCTCCACCCTGAACACAGCAGCACTGATCTAAGCACAGAAACCGACACAAAGCTAAGCTGTGTCTGTTATATAATAAAAAAAATCCCACTCACACTCCCTCATATTCCCTCATAATTTCATTAAATATGCACACACACACATAAACACACCGCAAGAGAGTGAAAAAAGGAACTTTTCACAATTTTTGGGTGGTGAGCTACTCATTAAAAATCAGCTACCTAATGCATTATTTGTAAATATGTAATTTTTTAGCCACACTAGAGAATCATGGGTTATAGAGGCGTTCTAGAAATGAGATTCTTTCCCCGTCTGATCCTCTCCACCCTGAACACAGCAGCACTGATCTAAGCACAGAAACCGACACAAAGCTAAGCTGTGTCTCTGTTATATAATAAAAAAAATCCCACTCACACTCCCTCATATTCCCTCATAATTTCATTAAATATGCACACACACACACATAAACACACCAGGTTTCTACCCCGCCCCCTGCTTTGGCAACCCAACCGGAGCAAACTGGTTTGGAGTCATTGTGAAAGCCAAGCCCAGAGACTTGGCAGGGCTGTCAAATTTTTTCCTTTATCTGGGTCAACTTCCAAAAATCTTTCTATTGCTGCAAAAAAAGAAAAGAAAAAAAAGCAAGCAGTGGATTAGAATCAGACAGACTAAGGAACATAAATAAAATATGAAGTTCTGCCTTGTTTTTAGAGAGAAGAGAGAGGAATGACAGAGACAGATTTACGCAAAGAGAAAACCACACAATTATGGAAAAGAGGAAAGGAGAGGTGAAACTGTCTCCTTCTGGAAGCAAAGAAAATGACACACATTATAGATGATGGTACTATGTTGGTTTTATTAAAGACTGTGAGTGTGTGTGTGTGTGTGGGCGTTGCTTTCAAATATAATTTGCTACATATACATTCTTATGCAATACCAAAAATACCAGCATAATCCACCTCCAGTGAGTGTTTTGATCAAGACTGTCGGAAACAGCAAACTGCAAACATACACCTACATATTCACACTGAATGTATGCTCAACACACACACACACACACACACTCACAATTCACTTAGCTGTCTAAATTGGAACAAGACTAGACAGACTGTTTTTCATATGGAATTAATTATAATTACTCCATATTTACAAGATACAGATGTTAAAAAAAGCTATTTAAAATAACTGTTTTCTGTTTGAATATGTTTTAAAATGTACATTACTCCCGTCTTCAGCATCACATGATCCTTCAGAAATCATTCCAATATGATGATTTGATGATTAAGAAACATTTCTTATTATTAGCAATGATGAAAACAGTTGTGCTTTTTTTTGTTGTTGCGGAAACTGTGATACATTTATTCAGGATTCTTTAATGAATCAAAAGTTCAAATGAACAGCATTTATTTGAAACAGAATCCTTTATAACCATATAAATGCCTTCACTGTCACTTTTGCTTAATTTCATGCATTCTTATTGAATAAAATTACATATTGATCTGATATGCTGAATAAAATATATAAGTAAAATATTTATAGGTTTTGTCAAATTTAACCAAATTCTAGTGACTATTTTGTGATTTTAGCTCCCAGAAATAAATCCACACAATGATCTGGAAAAGAGTG